TCTTTCTTTCTTTCTTTCTTTCTTTCTTTCTTTCTTTCTTTCTTTCTTTCTTTCTTTCTTTCTTTTTCTTTCTAATTCCCTCTTTCTCTGTCTCTCTATCTTTCTTTCTGTACCTGCCTTCCATCCCCCCTCTTTCTATGTCTATCCCCTTTCTTCCTTTCTCTTTCCCTTTTTCTTTCTTTACTTTCTTGTCTGTTCCTTCTGTCTTTCTCTCTCTCTTTCCCTTTCTTTTCTTTCTTTTTATCTTTCTTTCCCTCTCTTTTCTCTCTCTTTCTCTTTCTCTCTTTCCCTCTCTCTCTCTTCCTTCCTTAACCTATCTACCTATTTTCTGCCCAGACAGGTGTGGCCTAATCTGTCAAAGGCCTGGGCTAATCCTGCATCACCCCATTTCCCCTTTCAGAGGCTCCAGCCCTTAATCTCCCCATTTCCTCCCTCATGACCGCCTCTTTCATCATCCCATGGCCATGTCTTTACCTTCCTCCCATGGCTGGATGTCACGGAAGTCAAGCCAGGGCTGAGCCATTGTTGACACTGGGCTCCCCACCAGACCCCCGTCGCCCTTGTCATGAATGCCTGCAGCCACCGCGTGTGTCAGCCTTCAAGATTTCTTTCCTTTGCTTTGCATCTTTCGGCTGTCATAAGTAATGGGGGGGAGGGGTGAAATAGTTGTGGGAAGTGAGCTGGAGATTTTTCAAATAACTGTATAAGTTGGAGGGGGAGTTTCTTGTTTATGCTTCTTTCCTGTGCTATGCGCAAGTGCACCTCTTTATCAAAATAGGCCACGGTCAATGGACAGATGCCTGCATCACCACCTGAAGATGCCCACTTGATATTACTCACTACTTTAATTAGATGGATAATTTGAACCATTGCCATCACTTTGTGTATGTGATTTTCTCACTCAATTCTTCAGATTCAGAATTTCTTTGATGCTACCACTTGATTTCCAGTAAAAGATATCTTTTCTCTAATTAATGGAGTGTTTCTTTCTTGGATTTTAAATGGAGCACCAACTGACATTATTCTGAATCTCAGTTTACCAGCCCACCCGGAAAATTAATACTTTTTCTTCTGAGCGGGTCTGAAAACAATGACCAGTCCAGTCAGCGACCAAGAGGATTTGGGAGCCACTGGAAGACCAGTTTCCCTGCTTCTAGATGCTTCAGGGGAGGCCGAGCTGCTAGCCGGGCTACATCTTGATGAGAAGCCAGCTGTAAAACCTAAATGGTCCCTGGGGGTCAGCTGGAAGGAACCGGAGGAAGAATCCCCTCCCCTGACCACTACTCGATGGCATCAGGGAGAAGAAGCGTGGCAAGAGGAACAAAAGAAGAATCTTTTATTAGCTCAAGCCATAAATCTTCTGAAGCTGTCGGAGGAATCCAGCCTGATCAAAGGTATGAGAGGGAAAAAGGGGAGGCAACCACAGCTGTGAGAGCCCAGGCAGCTGTCCCATAAATCAACCTGGGCTAGTTCAACAGGCAGGAGCAGCCCAGGGCCCCTGGTGGGGGGAGCAATTGCCAGAAGGCTCTCCCATCTGTCTCTAAGGTCATTACAATATAATCCTAGCAAGATTAAGTGGCTTTGGGTTTTCGGGCTTCCTGGATCTTATGGTTTTTAATCTTTAGTTCTGGATGGTGTTGCACTATTCCAAAGCAATCCAGTGCACAATTTGGGGTCTTCCTGGAATCCTAACTCCTGTTCAAGGAACTGGTGACAGCTGTAGCTAAAAGAATATTTGCACAACTTTGTCTTGTGTGTCATTTGGTCCCTTTCTTAGATCAGGAGGAATGTATTGGTCATGTTCCTAGGGATATTACTACAACATGTTCTATATATGTCTATCCTTGAAAAATGCCTGGAAGCTTCTATTGGTCCAAAATGTAGCAACACGGGGATTTACAGGTGTATCTTGTAGGAAAGGATTTTTCTATCCTTTGGAACATATATCCTGAGATTAGATTGGTCTTGACCATACCATCTTTTTGAAGTTTTAAAGATTTGGAAGTATTCCTGAGAACGTGGCTCAGGTTAGTTGGAGTCCACAGGATTTTCTTAGTTTATTAAATTGGATTTTACCTCAGTTATTATTATAGGCTTTTAACTCTTGATTGGTTTTTGTTGTCGTTTTGTATGCTGTTTTACATGTTATTAGCAGAGTTGTTATGGTAAGATGGTATTACATTGAGTACATACATTGAATCGATCAATCAATCATCTGTGCTAATGGCCCAAATCTAACAGTTTTAGGAAAAATTATACAAAAATTGTGTTCTTTAATGTACCTTATGTGTAGTTGTAGCCCAAGTTAGCTGTATTATTAAACATAATTCCAGACTTCCATTTCAGATTTTCAAGTGTGTATTTATTTGACTAACAAAATTCTTACAAAAATCTAAAGCTGTCTTGGTTCATCACAGAAAAATAATACATAGCGCTATCTTTTATAAGTTGAAGCTAAGCAATAATGAAAAATGGCACAAAGCAGTTAAAACTTATAGAGTATTTTACGTGTATCAATGAGTAAACTGACATTTTATTAGCATCCTTTAATGATTAGTAGCAACATAGGAAATGAATTCAGCATTAGAATAGAATTAATTGTAACAGTGGTATCCAGTTTTATTTTATTCCGAACAAAACAAAGAAAGCTTAGTCCTCATTGTCTGGCTATTGGGGTAGCATATTCCAGTAATTCCTTCTAGCAGTTTTCATCCTAAAAGTTATCTCAGCTATGCCACACTCCTAAAACAGCACTTCAGTCCATTTCATGGATTCCTTTGTTATTTCCAAAAATTATTAGAACGACACTTCAAAGTAGGAAAAACAGAGGCTAAGAGTGAGTCAATTTCTCTAATTTTATATACAGATATAATATTTTAATATTTTCCAAGTTACCCTAAAACTAAGAAGCAAGACACAGTATAAAATGTCATAATTTTTATTTTTACTTGCCATTATATACAGGGAATACAACTATCAGTTGTTTTGGAAACTGCTTTGCTTAGTTGAGTAAAATATTTCCTTTTAAAGATTATGATTAAGCACAAGTAGAGAAGTATATGGAAGATTGTTATCATAAAAAGGATTATTTCGTAAGAAGTTGCAGAATATATATTTTAGCAAGGCTGTGGGTAAAAGTTAACTTCAGAGGGTTTCAGTCATAGGGTTTCATAGTGCAGTTTCAGCTGCTGTAACCATGACCTACATGGGAATAGCCTTTACTAACAAAGCAAAGACACAGAACATCACAGAACATTCATGCAATTAGTGAAACTGAATACCAAAGTCCAAATTCTGATTATATTGAGAAAGAATGTGTTGTATACTTGTTGAAGTTCAATTGAACTAACTAGGTAACTACTATTTATGCACAACTTTCTTGATAACAAGAAGCATTAACATGATTCTGTTAACCAGACTACTAGTGCAATATCTGAACTGAATTAAGAACAAGGGATTGTAATTATTATAATGATGTTAGAAAACAATCATTGATGTTATGCTCTTTCATGCATTTGATGGGTAGACAGGTCAGGAAAATAAATATATTAAAATAAAGAACATTAACTGTGGGGTGTTGAAGGAAAGGCCAATTGAAATTGAATAACTTGCTATTCAATCTTTTGACTGACTTGGCATGGAAAAAGAACAGATTATATTGCTAAGGAATTTCTTGCCCACTCCTGTTTTTTCCTTATTCCCTCATAGTAAACTTGACATGTCAGTTATGAGAATGGAAGTTGATGGAATATGACAAAGCACCAACCATCAGATGTTTTTAAAACCCTTGTTCTTTTCTTATGATTGAATAAAATAGTAATTTATTAAAAGGTGCAAGAAACAATGACATGAAATACATGGTTTGTCATCCAGCCTTTTCTCCTGTTTCCTGCTTTTGCTGGACACAAATTCCTTCCATAATAACTTTTTCAGTCCAATCCATCTGTAAGGCTAGCAATGCATAGAATCACTTGCCATAAACACTTTCATCACTGTAAGCCACATAGAGAAAATAATCTTCCTCATGATTATCCTATTAAAAGATAAAAAGGGGGTAGGGAGAAATAGAGATCACAGTCAGCTATATAGAAGTGGGGACAGCATGTCAGACTTAGCATGTAACAGCTTATAATAATTTTAAATGTTCTTTTAAAAAGAATTTTGTAGGTAAAGCAGGAAGAGTTTAGTGAAACAACTATAAAGAAAATATCCATAAGGAAAATTTCCAATCAGAAGCACAGAGAGAGGAAACCTTTTTTTAGCATTCTGATGTGTTCTATTTTTACATTTTTGTCACCTTGAAACTTTGTTCCTTAAAATCCTGGTGGTGGCAGTATCTAATCAACCACAATTGCTAAAGCAGATTAGATGTATTAGTGACTTAAAAGAGAAAAAAACAGACATCCACAACTTCTCCAGGCAAGCCTTCCACTGATTGTTCTCACAAATAGGAACTTCCCTTAATTCTGTTAGATCTCTCTTTGATAAGTTTTCATCCAATACTTTTTGTGCTGCCCTCAGGTATTTCAGAGAATAGGTAGAATGTCTCTTCTCTTTGTCAGCCTCTCAAATATTGGAAGATTGCTATCATATCACCTCCTATTTCTTCTCTTTATTAGACTAGGCATAACTAATTCCCAAAACTATTTACTGTACATTTTAACCTCCAGCCCCCTAATCATTTATGTTGCTCTTCTCTTCTCCCATTCTACAGTCTCGACATCTTTTTTTTTAATCCTGCTGACTAAAGCTGGACTCATTATTCCAAGTGAGGTCTTACTAGTGCAGTATAAAGCAGTAATAACACTTCATGTGATCTTGATATCTTCTGTTGTTGCAAGACTGTATTGGCTTTTGTTTGGCAGCAGCAGCACCTTGCTGGCTCATATATATGGACTCTTTGGGGATTGGGTAAAAACACCACACATCCTGGCACCCTTCAAGTTCTGGAAAAAGCAGAATGAGGGAGCCAAACTTTGAAAAATCAGTTAAAGAAATTAACCAGGATGCCCTGGACCAATAAAATATTGCCCTTAGCCCTATTTAGGATTAGAGCTAAAACTAAGGGCTGATGTAGGATGACTTGGTGTTTGATTATCCATTGCCAAGGATGGAAGGTGGGAGCATTCTACCTGAAATATCTGATCTGTTCATAAAAAGATATGTGAACAAGTATTGGGTTTTTTGTCTTCTCTTCGACATGAAGGCTTGGTGGCACGAACAGTTCCTTTGGAATTTCCAGTCCATAAGATCAGTGGGTGTTGATTCATAAATGGAAGGAGGAACCTCTACTGACTACTGAATCTGTTGTCTGGACAACTGAGAAGTGTTGGACTTATTACACATGAGCAAAGGTGGTGACTGAACCTGAAAGAAGTTGGACAATCATCCCCAAACAAGGACTGAAAACCATCTTTAAAAAAACTTGAATAGGTGGTGGAACAGAACCCCCCATCTATTTCAAACATTTCTATTAGAATTCCAGGTGACCCCAGACAAAGAACAAAAGTGTTGTTGGTGATTCATGTGTCAGATCCCATAGATCTGGGATGCTGCCATTCTGATGGGGAGGGGGCCTGGGTGCATTCTTTAGTTTATAGCCATTTTCCTGATGCCTATGTATCCTGTACTTTGATTTACCTCCTTGGGAATGTAAGGAGGGAAGGCCATCTGTTTTATCTCAGTTCCAAAGCCTCCAGCAAGAGATGCCTGGGAACAACTTCTTATCACCTTCTCAGCCTGCCCTTCTCAAAATAACTTTGCACCTGTGGATTGCTTTATTCAACATTGGACTGAAGGGAGGGGTTTCTAACTGCTTTATCCTAACTGAATTGCCCAGGAAACTTTAGATCCTGTTTCCTTTATCTTGCAATCCCTTTCCTTCAATAAAAGGTTCCTTTTGAATTGTTAATTGTTTCAAGAGTTTTATTTTCTTGAACATACATGAGAGAAATAAAAGTGGTTTGTTACAAGTAAAGCCTACCGAGAAAGATGTCACACCATTACTGTGTTTCCCTGAAAATATGCCAACTATGTCTGGTAGCAGCTGCAGCCCACTGGCTCTTTAGCCAGCACACTGGGGTTGCACAGCTGAGTTCGAGCACTGTGACCACCTGGCTGGCCTTCTAAGCAGCAGGTGGAGGCAGAGGCATGAGGGAGGTACAAGGAAAGAGACAGTGGGATGGAGTGGGCAGGTGGCTGCAGGAGGCTCATCCTCATGGCGACACCAGTAGCAGACAGGACGCAGAGGCAGGGGAGGCATGCAATCCAGCCCGCCAAATGGACTGCACAGCTGCCTGCCCCATCATTCCGTCTGTCTTTGCTTGCCCACAGCCGTGATGGAACAAGAGGTCAAATGACACATCCAGATCGTGTACTTCCCCCCTATGCCTCCCACAGCTGCTGCCTGGTGATCGCAGCATTTGGACCCACCTGCGCTGTGAAGGCTATGGCTGCTGCTGGGCACAATCAGCCCCTGCATGCTCACTGCCTTCTGTGCTGGCCACCCCACCCCCAGGGTTGACAATGTTAACTGGGGATTATTTTGGGGGTAGAGCTTATATTAGGAACACACTAAAAATCATGCCAGGACTTATTTTCTGGTTGGGTCTTATTTTTGGGGAAACAGTAGAAACTAAAAACATTCTTATTGACAGTGTGGTTGCTGTTATCATTGTTGTGATTGTGGATCAATTTATGGGTGTGAAACACCAGGTAATAGTTATGAGGGAGTAGATTCTAATTCTAATATTCCTGAAGATAACACACCAGAACAGTCTGGGAAATGAAGGAAAAATTTGCAGGCAAGTGCATAAAATTCAATTTAACTAAGTGTTGGGTGTGTGGTAGGCCTTTGATAGCTTAGTGGTCTATGAGAGTAGTGCCTTTGAGCCCATATTTTCTTCTCTCTGACTCTAAGGATTACACCAGTAATTGGATGGATACAAACCGACATATGTGGGAGTTAAGTAATATTCCAACTGGCTTCTATTGTTTAAACAGAAGTAAAGGAGATCAAATGTTGGGGAGAAGCTAATGTATCTGGACTCAAACGTATGACCAGATACCAATCATGAGAGTCCCTGTAAACTGTACCCAACTTAAAATAACACACACTCAAAAACAATGGTCTTATATATCAAATAAGTTAAGATTGGGATGCTATGCAGAAAGCAGAATAAGGAAAGGATAGTAAAACAGTTAACAGAATGAACCTGGGGTTGGCAACATTAACCTCAGAATTCACTGAATACTAGAAAATTTACAAGTGGCCAAGGGATAAATGTACAAAGGAAAGGTATTTAGATGTGTAGGAGCAACCCTGTAGGCTATGCCTATCCCATATGGAGGATAAAATATGACCATAGCACCAATTGGATGGGATGGCAATTGGAAGGACCTTTTCCTAAGGGACAGCCAGCAAGAAAATGTCAATACTGGATATGAATCAAGGACATACTGAGCACTGCCCCTAGATTGGGCTGGAATCTGCTACCCTGGGGTAGTGATGTCTGAAATCTTTTTTACTAGAAAATGGAAAGGATAATGACATACAAATCTCCTCATATAAGAAATATAGGGGAAAGAGAGATACAGCTAAAGCCCCAGAACAAAGTTGGAAGGGTATATGGTACACAGATAGAATAATAGCATATAGATAGTCCTTGAAATACAACAGGTCACTTAACAAATGATCAGATTAAATTAGATTAACACAGTTGGAAGAGATCTTGTAGGTCATCTAGTCCAACCTCCCACTAAAGCAGGAGACCCTATACCATTTCTGACAAATGGCAGTCCAATCTCTTTTTGAAAGCCTCAAGTGATGAAGCTCCCACAACTTCTGAGGGCAAGGTGGTTGATTGATTGGTTGATTGTTCTCACTGTCAGAAAATTTCTCCTTATTTCCAGGTTAAATCTCTCCTTGTTCAGTTTCCATCCATTATTCCTTATCTGGCCTACTGGTGCTTTAGAAAATAGCTTGACCCCTTCCTCTCTGTGGCAGCCCCTCAAATATTGGAAGACTGCTATCATGTCTCTCCTGGTCCTTCTCTTTACTAGACTAATCATGCCTAGTGCCTGTAACCATTCTTCATATGTTTTAGTCTCCAGCTCTAGAATTACTGGCTATTGAGGTAGGACAAATCAGAGAAGCTATGATCCAAAATAAAATTGTTCTAAGATTACACATTAGCTTGTGAAGAAGGACTATTTATTTATTTATTTGATTTGCCAATTGTTTACAAGATAATAAGTATAAATGTATATATAGTTGTGAATACATGAAATGGTTACATATAAGAAAAATAAAAGAATAAGAGAAACAATAGGACAGGGACGGTAGGCACGTTGGTGCGCTTATGCACGCCCCCTACAGACCTCTTAGGAAAGGGGTGAGGTCAATAGTAGACAGTCTAAGGTTAAAGTTTTTGGGGTTTGGGGAAGAAACTACAGAGTCGGGTAGAGTATTCCAGACATTGACCACTCTATTGCTGAAGTCGTATTTCCTGCAATCAAGTTTGGTGCGGTTTACTTTGAGTTTGTATCTATTGTGTGCTCTTGTGTTGTTATGGTTGAAGCTGAAGTATTCATTGACAGGTAGGACATTGCAATGTATGATTTTGTATACCATGCTTAAGTCAGACCGAAGACGGCGTAATTCAAGGTTTTCTAGTTCTAGAATTTCAAGTCTGGTGGCATAAGGTATTCTACAGCGAGTAGAGGAGTGGAGAACTCTTCTTGTGAAATATTTCTGGACTTTCTCAATTGTGCTAATATCAGATACGTAGTGTGGGTTCCAGACTGATGAACTGTATTCGAGTATTGGTCTAGCAAATGTTTTGTATGCTCTGGTTAGTAGTGTGATATTACCAGAGAAAAAGCTACGTAGGATTAGGTTAACAACTCTTAATGCCTTTTTGGCTATGTAGTTGCAGTGTGCTCTAGCACTTAGATCATTAGAGGTGAGTATTCCAAGGTCCTTTACAGAGCTTGGGTCATCAACAAGATCTTGACTATTCAGCTTGTATTTTATTTTCTGATTTTTTTTGCCAATATGTAAGACAGAGCATTTATTTGTTGAGATTTGAAGTTGCCGTTTGTTTGACCATTCGGATACATAGTCAAGATCTTTTTGTAGGGTAGCAGTATTGTCTGTGGTATTGAACAGTTTTACATCATCAGCGAAGAGAACACAATTGCTCTTAATATGATCACAGAGGTCGTTTATGTAGAGTATGAAGAGAGTTGGTCCTAGAACACTGCCTTGGGGAACACCACTATTGACAGGTACTGGATTTGATAGGACGCTCCCGATTTTGACCATTTGTTGTCTGTTTGACAGGAATGCTTCTATCCAGTTATTCAGTTGTCCAGAGATACCATAGGATTTTATTTTTAGGAGTAGTTTGTCGTGTACCACTGAATCAAAGGCTTTACAGAAGTCTATGTAGATTGCGTCTATTGTTTTGCCCTGGTCGAGTTGTGTCGTCCATATGTTTTTGCAGTGTAAGAGTTGCAGATTACAGGATAGTTTTTTCCTGAAACCAAATTGTTTATTGGAGAGTAGGTTATTTGTCTCTAAGTGAAGGATGATGGATTGGTTAATAATTGATTCCATGACTTTACAGGTGACGCAGCATAAGGAGATTGGCCTGTAGTTTTCAACTAGGCTTGGGTCTCCCTTTTTGAAGATGGGGATGACTGTGGCTTGTGACCATAGGTTAGGCAAGGAGCTGGTTCTGAAAGATTTTTCAAAGATTATGCTTAGAGGTTTGGCTATGGCAGTGGATAGCTTTCTTAAGAAGTAGGCACATATTCCATCCGGTCCAATAGATAGAGATGGTTTTAGGTTGCGTATTGCTTTTTCAACATTGTCTTCTGTGAAATCGATATGTATTAGATCATTGTTGTTATCTGTGGTACGGCTAGGAAATATTGGGCATGATCCATTGCTGTTTACAAATACTGAGCCGAAGAATGTGTTAAAGATGTTGGCTTTAATGGTGTCGTCGTTGCAGTCTTTACCATCAGGTCCTATCAAGGGAGGGATGGACCTTGAGTCTTTTAGTTTGTTGTTTACAAAATTGTAAAAAGCGCGGGTGGAATTGGTGCTTAGAAGGTTTTCCTCTTGTTTAATGTGATAATTGGTGCATTCGGTCTTTATCTGGTGGCATAGATTTTTGTATCGGTTTTTGAAATTGGCAACGTGACCAGATTTGTTTTTCCACCAGAGTGATCTCTTTTTGGATTGAAGTTTCCTTATTGATATGGGTAATCTGCTTTTTTGTTTTGTTTTGGGAGTTGTTGTTGGTACATATAGTTTGATGACTCTTTTGACTTCAAGTAAAAATATGTTATAAGACTATGTGGAAAATTTAATTACACCAACATTGTTTATAGATAGATGATAATCATAAAGCAGTAATGGATATTGCACAAGGAATCAGGAAAGTGGCTAAAACTCCTGAAGAAAAGTATGAAAATATGTGGGGCGATTGGAGTTGGTTAACTAATTGGCTTTCCAATTTTGGATGGCTAAAACAAATATTTGCAGGACTAGTATTTTTGTTATGATAGGTATTATGTGCTGTGTTTGTATCCAATGTTTCCCATGATGTCTTTCACTTTGCACCAAAACACTGGGATCAGTAGTTAAAAACATTTCTTGAGAAGATGAAGATTCAATTTATACTATCCAATATAGCCAAAAGTGAATATTTATCAGAGTATATAGAAATACATGGGGTTTTATTTTAATAAATATGTACCAGTATGATGAATCTTCAGAGACAGTCAAATCTTCTGTGTAGTGGAAATTTATTGAATAGAAATTTTTTTTTTGCCATAATGGGAAGAAAGAAAATGGCAGTCTAAAAGCAGGATGTAAAATAGACATGTAGGCAAAAAATAGCTGGGTCTTCAGAGTGGGAAAAGAAAGAATACAAGCTATAAAAACAGCTACCAAAGGAAATGGCTAGCCAGGGCAAGTTTACTGAAGGGGATAATGGGAAAGATAACTGAATTGGAAAATAGGAAAGGCAAAACTGAAAAACAAGAAAAATATACTAAGAATCCATAAAAAGCCCAGAATTCAAAACAGGCAACTGAGCATGTCTAATTAGCAGATGAATATTATTTGACACACCTTGCATAAATTATCTCCTAATTTTAATGTACATGTGATGTTTGATTTAGTACAGGGGTGTCAAAACTCAACTTCATTGAAGGCCGCATCAGCATTGTGGTTGCCCTGCGGGATGGCTGGGGTGTGTGTCCGGCTTGGGTGTGGCCAGCTCGACATTGCTTGCATTGTGGGGGGCTGTTGGGATCAGGCAGAGCTGGGCAGGGGATAGAGGCATCTCTGGCAGAAGGGGGCAGGACCAAAGCAGGTGCCGGGGTGTGATCCACTGAAGGAACAAAGGCAGATGGGTTGCGGTGAAGCAGCCCAGCTGGTTGCCATCATCACCATGCTGTGGCCCCTGCATGCTTGACCCCTATCAAATTTCATCCTCCAGCATGCCTGCCACCCACCCACTTCCCAGCAAATGGGAAAGGCCAGGAGCTCCCATCCCCAAGAGGCAGCTGAGGCTCTGCAGCCCTCACATGCAGGTGGGTCCATGCCTCATGTTGGTGGGTGTGGTGGTGATGATGACCGGCTGGGCTGCCTTATGCCAACCCCAGCATCTGTGTTTGCCCATGGCCACAACAGCTGGAACAGAGCAGGTGGCTGCACAGTGGCTGCCTGACACATCTGGCAGGCCAGACTGTGTGCCTCCACCTGCTGCCTGGAGCATCACCCACTTGCACTGCGCAGACTGCAGTGTCCCAGTTGCTTCTGGGGCTCCCCACCTTTCCTATTTGCTGAGGCCTTCACGAGTGAGGCAGTGGGCAGAAGACTTGTCCCACATGTGCAGCGGAGTTAGAAGACAAAGTTGGATGACTCCACCTCCACCCTGCCACCTGCCTCCCCTTCATGGTGGCAGCACTGGCTTCAGGGAAAGGGAAAGGCAAAGGGGGGAGGCACGCAATCTAGCCCACCAGATGCACTGGGCAGCTGCTGGGCTGCCTGCCCCATCCCAGCTGTGACGGCAACCGGCAAGCAAAGACAGACAGTGGGATGGAGCATGCAGATGGGTGGGTGGCCATGCAGTACTTCCAACGGGCCAGATCACGTGCTTCCTCCCCTGTGCATCTGCCTCTGCCTGCTGCTTAAGGCCAGGCTGGCAGTCATAGTGCCCCAGACTCACCTGCACTGCACATGCTGTGGAGCCCCTCAGCCAGAGGGCTGTTACTGGACACTGTCAGCCCCCATATACTCACTGCCTCCTGTGAGCATGCTGGGGGACATCCGGATGGGGTGGGCTGTGGCAGTAATGATCTCCAGGACAGCCCTACAGGCCAAATCTGCTCCTTATGTTTGACATGTCTGGTTGAAGGCTTTGTTCCTCCCTCAAATAATAAGGCCGGCACATGCAAGCAGCAAACCTGGGCCATGGATGGTGTTGGTTCTTGCACCCAGCCTTAGACCCATGGGGCTGCCCTGCCACCTCGACCCTGTCCCCTGGTGTCCTCGGTCTGCAGGGCAAGACAGTTCCTGGAGAAGTCAGGTGCCGCCTCCTGTGCGCATACCCAGGTGGCAGGATGGGGGCAGCCCCTCATAGACTCCAGGGCAGCCCCATGGATCTAAGGCTGGCCATATTCTGGCCAGGATGGCTGCCACCAAGTTGTAGATTAGCAACAGGTCGCTCTGGGCCAGGCCAAGGCACCATGGGCTGGTCCTTTGCTACTCCCAGGGCAGCCCCACAGGCCAGATCTAACCACCATGCAGGCCAGATCTGGCCTGCAGGCCTTGAGTTTGACACCCCTGATTTAGTATGAAATATGTAGGTGGCAGTTGGGAAGAGTGTAACCTCATAGGACCTCAGCCAATGGGAAACAAGGGGGGATGTAGCTGCCAGGACAGGGTTATATAAAGACAAGAATATTTTGGATTGGAACTTTGAAGAAAACCAAGCTTTGAAAGCTTCCCTTTTGCAATAAAACTTATTGCAATAAAATACAAAAGGCTTTCACTGAGTCTTGGCTGGTTATTGGTTAGACGAGCTTACCTTTGGTCACAAAGGAAAGGAGCCTGGAGTATATAACAATAAATAAAAAGCTGTGCATCTGTAGATTTCAGACTGAGTAAGTGTTTCCCCAATAGGTGCTTGAAAGTCACTCAGAAAAAAACAGAAAAGGTTCAGAAATTAAGCTTTGAGATACAATAGAGCAATGGGCAAGTGGAATTTAGTTGCATGTAGAAAGCAAAAGCACTGTACTAAATAAACAAAGCCGTGTTATTTATTATGCACTATTCCATCATTTCCACTATTAAAATAGAAGAAATTCTAGTATTTACCTCATACAGCTGACCCATAGTTGCACTGGTAGGAGGAATAGTGTTGTTGACAAAGAAGAACAAGGCATCTTCTGGCCTCAAGTGGATTCTCTTTCGAATCAAGAAATAGAATTGACCAACTAGAAAAGGTAGAAGAGGTAAGAAAGAGTAAAGAAAAAATGCATCAGATATATAGTAGATAACTCTCGACTCCATTTGGTTGAATAGGCATTTTTACTAGGAGATGTTGATTGCAGTAAAGTCAAGCAGAATCTTAAAATTCCCACACACCAGTACAGAACTAAAGCTCTGGTTTCCCCTAGCGCCCCCCCCCCCGGTCCATGTGTGTTTAGCCACCAAGATATTTTGGAAAGTGTTGCAGTGTTTGGATTGGTGAAATTCCACCCTTAGAGATGCCAGTGCACCAGCACAAACTGGATTCCACAATGCTCTGTTCTTCCTCAACTGTCAATTTTCCTAACCAATTTCCCATAATAAAACTATATAGCTTTGTTGCCCATTTGTTTCCCCCTCCCTTCCCTGATTGATGGCAGAATGCCGGCAAAACAAAGCTGAAGTTGGTGGATCTGACAGATAGATCATTTCCCCACACCCAGAAATCTTCCATAAAGTCTGATTGCCTTTTCTGTCTGAAATGAGATAATGAGAACACTGATGTCTTTCTGGTACTATGTAAAGTATTTTAATTTTAATCCTGGAAACTATAGACTGTTGAGGTAATTCCCCATTAGGAGAATGAGCACATACAGGGAGACTTATTTGAGAGAAGTGTTGAATAATACACACACAGCACACAGATACACTGTACAGTAAATGTAGGTTTTTACTTCCAGAAACTTTTAAGCAAAGTTCAAAATAAGCAATCCAAAGTCATTCACAGGTAAAACCAGTCAGTTTTCAGTCCAGTCCAATAACAAAGTCCAGTGTCAAAAACAGTTCAGTATCAGACTTACATTAAATCCAAGAATAACAGTCATTAGAAAAAATGGAGGAATGGCAATACTCTCCAACAGAAGGAAACAGAGACTCACTGAGACTTCTTCTGAGACTAAGACTAAACAACCCAGGTTTCTGGCTCCATCTTATGGCCATTTTAGAAACCACACCCAATTACACCTCCAGGACTCTCTTAAAGATACAGTATTAAAATGTCTATCCTGGTTTATATATTTACAACCCAAATAGCTGTTAGGTGACTTACATTCCTAACATAGACCAATCAGCCTAACATCAATACCTGGGAAGATACTGGAAAAGATAATAAAAAAACAGATCTGCCAACATCTAGCCACAAGTAAAGTAATAACTAACAGTCAGCATGGGTTTGTTAAGAACAGGTCATGCCAAACCAATCTTATTTCATTCTTCAACATAGTGACTAAATTAGTAGACCAGCAAAATACTGTGGACATAATATATTTAGATTTCAGCAACGCATTCGACAAAGTAGACCACAACCTACTTCTTAGTAAGCTAAAAAAAATGTAGAATAGATAGCACCACCACTAGAGGGACTCGCAACTGGCTGACAAACCGTACTCAACGAGTAGTCCTTAATGGGTCTAAGTCTACATGGAGGGAAGTAAGCAGTGGGGTACCACAAGGTTCCGTCTTAGGCCCAGTATTCTTCAATATCTTCATTAACGACTTAGATGAGGGAATAGAAGGGGAACTTACCAAATTTGCAGATGATATTAGGCTGGCAGGAATAGCTAATGCCCAAGAAGATAGGCTCAAGATCCAGATGGATCTTGACAGACTAGAACACTGGGCTGTTTCTAACAAAATGAAATTCAATGTAGAGAAAAGTAAAGTCCTACACTTAGGCAAGAAAAACCAAAAGTACACATACAGACTGGGTGAAACCAGGCTCAATAGCAGTAACTGTGAGAGGGATCTTGGAGTCTTAGTGGACAACCAGATAAATAAGAGCCAGCAGTGTGCAGCAGCAGCCAAAAAAGCTAATGCAATCCTAAATTGTATGAACAGAGGGATACAATCAAGATCAAGGGAGACACTAAAACCACTCTATAAAGCCTTAGTAAAACCACACCTAGAGTACTGCATCCAGTTTTGTTCACCACATTACAAAAAAGATGTTGAGACTCTAGAAATAGTACAGAGAAGAGCAACCAGGATGGTTAGGGGACTGGAGACTAAAACATATGAAGAATGGTTACAGGAACAGGGCTTGGCTAGTCTAGTAAAGAGAAGGACCAGGGGAGACATGCTAGCAGTCTTCCAATATTTGAGGGGCTGCCACAGAGAGGAAGGGGTAAAGCTATTTTCTAAAGCACCTGTAGGCCAGACAAGGACTAATGGAAACTGAACAAGGAGAGATTTAACCTGGAAATAAGGAGAAACTTTCTGACAGTGAGAACAATCAACCAGTGGAACACCTTGCCCTTGGAAGTTGTGGGAGCGCCATCACTTGAGACTTTCAAGAACAGATTGGACTGCCATTTGTCATTAATGGTGTAATTGGGCGCGTGGTTGGACTAGATGACCTACAAGGTCCCTTCCAACTCTGATTATCTCTTATCTGTTAATTATTCTCTCTTAAAATTAACTAAGTCAGACTGGTGTAGTGGTAAGGCACCAGGCTAGAAATCAGGAAACTTTGACTTCTAATTATGCCTTAGCCATTGAAGCCAGCTGGGTAACTTTGGGCTAATCACTGTTTCTCAGCCCTAGAAAGCAGACAATGGCAAATCACTTCTGAAAAACTGGCAAGAAAATGCAGGGACTTTTCCAGATAGTCACTAGGAATCAAGGTGATTTGAAAATGTGGACACACACACAAAAGAGATAGTGTTCTTTCATTCTGGGGTTATTTTTTCTGCTGCTGTTTTTTATTTCATACTTAAATCTTCTTATATTATTTATATATTTATATTTTTAAATATTATATATATATTTTTAAAAATCTTATTGTCTCAGAATGTATTTGAAAATCAATATACACTGCTCAAAAAAGTAAAGGGAACACTTAAACAACACAATGTAACTCCAAGTCAATCACACTTCTGTGAAATCAAACTGTCCACTTACGTAACAACACTGATTGACAATCAATTTCACATGCTGTTGTGCAAATGGAATAGACAACAGGTGGAAAGCATAGGCAATTAGCAAGACATCCCCAATAAAGGAGTGGTTCTGCAGCTGGTGACCACAGACCACTTCTCAGTTCCTATGCTTTCTGGCTGATGGTTTGGTCATTTTTGAATGCTGGCGGTGCTGTCACTCTAGTGGTAGCATGAGACGGAGTCTACAACCCACACAAGTGGCTCAGGTAGTTCAGCTCATCCAGGATGGCACATCAATGCGAACTGTGGCAAGAAGGTTTGCTGTGTCAGCGTAGTGTCCAGAGCATGGAGGCGCTACCAGGAGACAGGCCAGTACATCAGGAGACGTGGAGGAGGCCGTAGGAGGGCAACAACCCAGCATCAGGACCGCTACCGCCTTTGTGCAAGGAGGGACAGGAGGAGCACTGCCAGAGCCCTGCAAAATGACCTCCAGCAGGCCAAAAATGTGCATGTCACTGCTCAAACAGTCAGAAACCGACTCCATGAGGGTGGTATAAGGGCCCAACGTCCACAGATGGGGGTTGTGCTTACAGCCCAACACTGTGCAGGACATTTGGCATTTGCCAGAGAACACCAAGATTGGCAAATTCGCCACTGGCACCCTGTCGTCTTCACAGATGAAAGCAGGTTCACACTGAGCACATGTGACAGACATGACAGGGTCTGGAGATGCCGTGGAGAAAGTTCAGCTGCCTGCAACATCCTCCAGCATGACCGGTTTGGCAGTGAGTCAATAATGGTGTGGGGTGGCCTCCATGTGCTCGCCAGAGGTAGCCTGACTGCCATTAGGTACCGAGATGAGATCCTCAGACTCCTTGTGAGACCATATGCTGATGCGTTGGCCCTGGGTTCCTCCTAATGCAAGACAATGCAAGACCTCATGTGGCTGGAGTGTGTCAGCAGTTCCTGCAAGATGAAGGCATTGATGCTATGGACTGGCCCACCCATTCCCTAGACCTGAATCCAATTGAGCACATCTGGGACATCATGTCTCGCTCCATCCACCAATGCCACATTGCACCACAGACTATCCAAGAGTTGGGGGATGCTTTAGTCTAGGTGTGGGAGGAGATCCCTCAGGAGACCATCTGCCACCTCATCAGGAGCATGCCCAGGCATTGTAGGGAGGTCATACAGGCACATGGAGGCCACACACACTACTGAGCCTCATTTTGACTTGTTTTAAGGACATTACATCAAAGTTGGATCAGCCTGTAGTGTTTTTTTTTCCACTTTAATTTTGAGTGTAACTCCAAATCCAGACCTCCATGGGTTGCTAAATTTGATTTCCATTGATAATTTTTGTGTGATTTTGTTGTCAGCACATTAACTATGTAATGAACAAAGTATTTACTGTATATACTCGAGTATAAGCCTAGTTTTTCAGCCCAATTTTTGTGCTGAAAAAATCCCCCTCGGCTTATACTCGAGTCAGATTCCCCTCTGAAAAAAAAATGGTGTGGAGTCGCGGCCTCCGGCGGCAGCGACTCCCAACAGCCCCAGCCGGGAAGGGAAAGGCAAAAAGCGCTTTGCCTTTCCCTTCCCGAGGCGGCGGGACTGGGGCCGCGCCGGCGGTAGTGACTCCTGACTCAGGGGGCCTCCGAGGGAGGGGAAGAGAGTGACTCCTGCCTCCCGCTGTCATCATCATCTTCTTCTTTTGGGTTAGTGAATCAATTAAACCTTTCATGATAGTGAGATCGTTTCCCAAATTAATTATTTTTATTTTTGAAATTTACCAGTAGCTGCTGCATTTCCCACCCTCGGCTTATACTCGAGTCAATAAGTTTTCCCAGTTTTTTGTGTAAAATTAGGTGCCTCGGCTTATATTCGGGTCGACTTATACTCGAGTATATACGGTAATAAGAATATTTCATTCATTCAGATCTAGGATGTCTTATTTTTGTGTTCCCTTTATTTTTTTGAGCAGTGTACCTTCCCTTTCAGACATTGTCATACAAGAAGTGACTTTCTACAAGCACTTTGCAGCAAGATTAGGAACACTATCATCATCATATTATGGTTTGTGCAGA